CTACATGGAGGTATCTCAGACCATCCGTCGCTATCGCAAGCATCTTTTTCATCCCCTTGTCGACGGCTGCAACTTCTGAGGTATCTTGAACCACCATCTCAATTGGCTGCGTTCTATCATCCTCAGGGCCTACACCTTTGAGGGATTACCACCCCAGCTGCTTCCAATCCTCATGAGACGAGGGCAGTAACTTCCACCTTGGCGTTGCATAGTAATTGCACACTCTCGGCCATCATGGAGGGATGTTTCTGGCGTTCTGATATGGTCTTTGCCTTTCGGAATCTCAGTCGCCAACGTCCAAGGTCACAGCAGTCAAACAGCGCAGAGGAGGATGCACAGCAAACTACAAGTCCCAAGTCTGGTATCCTGTATTTACTGCAATTATTTCATTTATTGCTTATGTTAATCGGGTTTCTGAGACAAGCTCCCAGAGGGAGGGTATATATGCTTGTCTGTTGGGACTTCGGTCCACGTCAATAGAAGCCACCATCCGGTGCGGCCATTGGTTAAATGGTGTCCAGATCTTCTACCTGCTCATCTCTGTCTTGCTCATGTGATGTCTCAGTGGTTGATTGAAGACCTGTGTGAAAAACGGGTATCATCGTTCGTTTCCTCTTCTCGTTCTTACCTTATTCATTCTCCTCGTGAGTTTGAGAGGTTGGCGAAGCGAAAAAAGAGATGCCAACGTCCTTGGGAGCGTATGTGTGAGGTCTGTCTTGTAGAACCTGCTGGCCGAGGACTTGGTGTTTGTACAAAATACCTCATCCTGTCCAGGGTGAGGTTGAAGTCGTGACCGAGTAGGTGTCGCCTTGCTCTTAGTTACGCGGTCGTTACTTAGAACAGGGTCCTGTGTGAAACCATGGAACACATGATTCCCCGATGTCATGATGTATATCTCTTGGTAGCACAAACAGGGCTTTTTGAAGCAACCCTTACACGAGTTTATCACTAATCCTTGTAAAATCCTTTGAATTTTCTTGATAAGTTCCAGCTTCCTCTGTACATCTCACGGTTGAGGTCCTTCCATGGTAGGGTATCTGCGCCCCACCAGCCTGTACACTCCAGATTGAGAATGAGGGTGCTGGATATGTCAGGTGATCAGGTCGCTGGGGTCGTGTCGCACGAGATTTTAGTGATGCGTGACCCATAATCACGGTGGTGATTTGGTGATGTATGGGACGTGTTAGGGTGATTGGAGTTCTAGGGCGTTTCCACACCAAGATCGAAGAATATGAAGAAATGCATAGTGTGAGATAGGATAAGTATATAAATATACAATTTATTAGAAAATTTACAAATGTATAATAATACACGCTGTACATGGCAGCAGAAGAGTAGTCGTGTCCTGAGGGTAACAATACAGTATGAGCCTTCTATTTGAAGCAGAGACTCCTACACGCGATACTGTTATCTCAGCATGAACGAATGAATATCAAACCCTCTTTTCTTTATTGTCGACAGCAATGTCAACAGCCTATCTCTCACACATCCTTTTATAAATGCTTAGCAACAAGCAACAGGTTTTATTGCATTTCAATTTTTAGTGTGGTAATTTATCCCGCCATGTATGTCTATACACGATAGAGACAGAAATCACTAACTTCCAACACCTGGTCTATAGTGGCCGAGAGGGGACATCGCTTTCTCGCGGAATTGCAATATCCACGCTTGACCACTACAGGGTGATATCTGTTTCAATTGGGAGAGTATGTTGAAATGTTTCTTTATTTACGTAACCATAATTTAACTGTACAGACGTAGGTGATTTTAAAAAAACCCACAATCCATTTCTGCGTAAAATGTAACTGATTGATTTATGGCCCTATTTAGTTTTCTGTGACCATCACGCCGAAGGGGCGTGGCGGGTCGTGGCAATACGCTCTCAATAAATCAGGTTTAAGTCTAAATATTTACTTTTCAAAAGAAGTTAAGAAGACTTTGGTTAATCACTCATGTCTGATTGTATTTGAAACTACAATCTCATAATTGTTGGTGTTCTGTAACTTGTTTTGAGTAGTTTATGATGTTACAGTATGTCATACTGTTGTCCGTAGATATTCCTTTTGACATTTGATTTATGATCATATTGTATTGTGTTTCTTGTCTTGTGCAAATCTACAAGTAGTGAGTGAGTCGCTTTTAACACTATTCCAGCAATATCACGACGGGGAACACCTGGAATGGGCTTCACACATTGTGTGTGTGCGTGCGTGCGTGCGTGCGTGCGTGCGTGCGTGCGTGCGTGTGTGTGATAATTACACCAGAACGCACAATTGTTAACAACCATACAGTTCAATAGATAGAGAATTGCTACATAAATATGAATATTCCTGCTTGACCAAAGATCCTATACTGTAATCGGACATCTTGTCTCCCCTGGCGGGAAAGTTAAACTCTATTTTACAAGCTCTTTAGTTTTAAATGTAATTCCCGAAGATAGTTCGATCGAAAGGAATGATAAGAAACGAGTAATAATATTTAAAACGTATTACATTTCTATTGTCCAAGGAATGAGGTTACGGGTTAAGGACGGTCTCAAAAGTCGTATATGTGACTTAAAGTAAAGACATATATCTTTTTCGGCTTCACTCCAAATCTGTTAACCTTCAAAATAATTCTTTGGAAAATGCGAACAATACAGACAGCGGCTGATGATACTGACAATTATTTGTCAATGTACATTTATGACCTATATGTAATTCATTATTTGTTCCAGTTCAATGTATCCTTTAAAGTTTTAGTTTTAAGATTGAGGGAAGAATGGGGTAGTATTTTGAATAAAATGAAAATATGAATAGCGACAATTCTATTGTAGTCTGTGAATCTTGCTAATTTACTACACAAGAAAATGAACACAAGCTTGTTTACAATCTAAACGTGATAGCATTCTGTATTTATATCTAACTTATTTATCTTCTACAAAATGTTGAAGAATTCTAGGTATAAAAGGCAAAATAGCGGTGAGCATTATAGGAATTGATAACTGTAAATCTGCCAAAAACATTTTAATGTACGGCATTATGGGAAATATCGCCTTGTCGCTTTCTCGCTCTATCGCGCTATCCTTTTCGCTTTATCGCCTTACCGCTCTATGGCTTTATCGCTATCTCTCATGACTAACAATAGTCATATGACTGATTAGGGTGTTCTTTAACTTCTTTTTAATAGTATGTACTGTAAATATTGAAATTAACGATGGGGTTAATTAAATGCAAAAATGCGAATTGACGTAATTAATTAAACTTTGCATTTATGTCTCAGAAATTACTGTTGATAAGACTCACTGCATGCACAATTTGAATAGCGGAAATACCAACTTAAATATAAAAACAAACAACTATCTATTTCCACATTACGGTTTATTGAGAACAATATGTCATTAAAAAATCCGTGGATTGTTTAAAATCCCCTGCGTCTGTACAGTTAAATTATGTTTAAGTAAATAGTGAGAGAAAGCGAGAGAGCGAGAAAACGATGTCCCCTCTCGGCAACCTGCTCATCCATTTACCTAGTAACACAACCGTTTCGTAAGGAGCTAAGTGCTTGAGAGAGAGCTAAGTGCTTGACTTTACGCGATTTTCGGGTTGCTTATCTAATTTTGGGGGAATTTTGAAGAATGCCATGCCATAGGTGGGGGAACTGAGGGGGTTTGTGTGTTTGTGTGTTATTTGGGATTTTTTATTTATTCATTTTTATTTATTTATTTATTATTTTAGTTTGTTTAAATATATTTTTACAATGTCTTTTAGGGATTTAGCATAGTATAGTAAATAGCAAGATTTTGTAGTTTATTAGATGCAGCCTTGTAGACGTGTTTTAATTAGGAAAATGCCTTATGCCTTGATGTTTTGTGGGTTTAGAAGTGTTGCCAAAGACATTTGTTTGTTACCGTTTATTGTGGATTTGAGGGTTGGTCTGTGTTGTTGGTGGTGTGTTCAGGTGTTTCTATTTGGTTACAGTGAGGGCATTTACCTGTTTGGTGTTTTCTGATTCTGTGTAGTGGAGAGTTTGGTTTAGTGTGCCCTGTCCGTAATTTGATTATTGCCCTGTCGATTTTCTTGAATTCATGAAGAACTTTTGGTTTTTTATTGGCTTTTGGAGCACCTGTTTTAGTTTACAGTTTGATTTCTGAAATTGGTTTTGCCACTTTTGGAGGATTTTACTCTTAGTAATACCTTTAATCTCGTTTTGAGATATTGGTAGGTTGATGCTTATTTCTTCTAATTGTAGTGATGCTTTAAGCTGCTTTGTCGGCGTCTTCGTTACCAAACACTCCGACGTGGGCAGGGATTCATACCAATTCTATTTCTTAACCTAGATTGCGGAGCTTTGTTGGAGCTTTTGAGTATTTTATTGATTTTAGGTAAAATTTAGGTAGATTTTTAGTGTTTTTATTTTTAATAGCTTGGAGTCAACTTAATGGGTCAGTAAGGATTAGGTTTTTGGGTTATTTTCTTAATTTGGGGGTTATGTAGAGCTGTGGCCATCCCAATTAATTCGGTCGTGAAAATTGATTGATTATTTGCGAGCCTATAGCATTTAGTTTCTTTTGAGGGTTGGTATCCCATGGATGCCGAATCCTGTGTGTTTCGAGGCCGGGTCGGCGGACCCGTCTCTATAGATGTGACACCAATTTGGCCATTTTTCGTGTATGTGTGATAGTGTGATGGCATTAGCAGTATCAGGATCGTTTTTTTAATTTAGTTTGGAGGAGAGAGTTGTGTCTATATTGAGGATTTGTAGTTCTGGTGTGAATATGTTGTTTGGTTTTGTGTTTAGTCTTAAAGCGTTTAGGTTGTGTATGTTTAAACAGTTGAGTGTGCGTTGAGAGATTGGTGTTAATAATGAGTTTTTCCGTGTTTGTGTTTGGTGTTTTAGGCTTATATTGTTTTTAAGGATGTGTTGGATTAGGGTCTTTTGTTGGGTTGGGGCCCAGAAATTTATTGTTTGCAGTTTGTGTGGCTGTTTGCAGTGTCTTTGTAGACCGAGTGGAGGTTTACCTTGCTGGGCGGAGTAGTAGGGTTTGGCAGATGATGACAGGTCCATGGCCGAGGTGCCGGTGACAGGTGGCGCGGCCCGCCATTGAGACCAGGTGCTGATGGTGTAGCTGCTGACACACTGAGACGGAAACGTGTAGTAGCGCTGTCCCTGCTGGTCTGGCATGTGTAGCAAGGGTGTTGGTGGGGCGGTAGTCCACGGGTAGATAGGCACAGGAACACATAGTGATGGATACTGGGGAACCGGCATTGCTATCACACCTGCCATATTTCAGGCTTGGGAACCTTGAACAACGCCATTGTAAATAAAATCAGGATATCATCTAAACCTGTACCACGAATGGCGAGTCGAACAAACTGGATATTTCATCAAGTCTCCTCCAAAATCTTTAATATGCCGATGGAATATTTCATACACACTTATATTTTTGTATTAACATCGCAAATCATGTAGTAAAATACTTAAAATATGTAAGCAGCACTTTTACAACAACAACAAAATGTTCACGAAATTAATTCAAAGATCATACCATGTGCCGCAATTCGTTCTTAACCGTGCGCTGTAGTATCCTAGCCACTTTTACATACAGACATGGCAACTATACTTAAATCAAGCTTACATAAATACTGTTCAAAGCGGGGTTAAATCCAACTCACTCACTCATTCACTAATAACTGTGATACAGGCCACTGAATGATTCGCGAATGTCCCGGCTCTATATGAACAGGCATCAAGATACCTAGATAACATCTAGATACTCGAATATAATACTAGATACTATAAATGATAATGATATGCAATGCCAGGCCTCACATTGAATTCATAGCTTTCCATTTTCAAATAAACCCTAATTATGTCTTCGTTCTAAGTCTTAAGAACGAGATTGAGATTGTTGACGTATATAAACATAACAGCCACGTCTGTTATTTCAAACCAAGAGAGACAAAGCTGGCTTGACATGACCATGCCTTGTAGGGCAAGTGGATCTCATGGAGATGATATATTGTTATATGTAAGATAAACGAAATATTAAATTTCACTGTCAGTCAGTGACTGAAACTTTGTATTAACAGTATTGTTAATTAAAGTTCACTTAATAGTTCAGCAATAGTTCTCTCAAATCCCATTTTTCAGTTATACAAAAAAGTTACGTATCAACTATATTAATTGTTTCTCAGATTCGAGAATGATATTACCAGCAAACAATAACATGACAATTTAAATTAAATCTGGAAACGATTTCACGCAATGTTTTCCCTCACGTGAAAGTACAGTTGACAGTTCGCTTATAAACAGCTTATGTGGTAACAGCTTAGGTAGTGACATACAGCCCTTTCTAAGTCCAATGGGACGATATAAAAAAACGGTTATATCTGGTAACTTCGGTGATTTAGAGCGACAACATCTTATACTTAGGATAGGATGAGATGGTAATGTGGCTATTCTAGCGCCTCACAGGCAGCTTGGGTTGTATACTCCCCAGGGAGATGAGAATGAAACTCGAGTGCTCACTGATCCATTGACCTGGGTAATAATAGTGTAGTGCTATGAGCATCTATTTGGTGAATGGAATCTGGCGCATTATAAATGCACTTATTATTATTATTATTATTATTTTTATTATTATTACTTGTGGTGATTCAGAAAGGCCATGTCTCACACTGTGGTGATTCAGGAAAAAAACACATCTCATATCTGTTAAGAGAGAGCACATCTCATACTTGTGTGACTTGTTCGTCCATATCCCCTCTCTATCTGTGTGACTTGTGCGTCCATTCCCCTCCCTATACGTGTGACTTGTACGTCTATTCCCTTTACTGTCAATATGGCTTGTACGTCCATTCCACTCCCTATCTGTGTGAATTGTACGTTCATTCTCCGCCGTATCTGTGTGACTTGTACGTCCGTTCCCCTCCCTATCTGTGTGACTTGTACTTCCATTCTCCTCCCTATCTGTGTGACATGTACGCCCATTCTCCTCCCTATCTGTGTGACTTGTTAGCTCTCCGGGTCCAAAGGACCAAGGTGAACTTATGACATACCGTGGCGTCCGTCGTCCGTACGTCAACAATTTATTCACTTCTTCTTCTGAACCACTAACTGGAAATTAACGAAATTTGACTGGAAGCATCCCAAGGTGGTGGGGATTCAAAATTGTACAAATGGTGGGACTGGCCCCCAAGGGACTGAGGATCGGGTCTAAATAGGAGTAATTTGGCGTTATTGTTTTAAACGACTTCTTCTCTGGAACTAAGAAATAGATATCAACCTTATTTGGTTGGAAGCATTCTCCGGTGGTGAGAATTCAAAGTTGTACAAATTTAGGGACTGACCCCGCAAGGGACTGAGGGGCGGGGCTAAAAGGGGGTAATTTGGCCTATTGTTTTAAACGACTTCTTCTCTGGAACTAAAAAATAGATATCAACCATATTTGGTTGGAAGCATTCTCCGGTTGTGAGGGTTCAAATTTGTACATATGGAGGGGCTGACCCCCCTAGGGGCCAAAGGGGCGGGGCTAAATGGGGGTAATTTGGCTATATTGCTTTAAGCGACTTCTTCTCTGGAACTCAGAGATGGATATCAACCATATTAGGTTGGAAGCATCCCTAGGTGGTTGGGATTCAAAATTGTACAAATGGTGGGGCTGACCCCCAAGGGGCTGAGGGGCGGGGCCGGGGCCAAATGGGGGTAATTTGGCTATATTGTTTTAAACGACTTCTTCTCTGGAACTAGGAGATAGATATCAACCATATTTAGTTGGAAGCATTCTCCGGTGGTGAGGATGTATATTTTTTATGATTGCGTAAATATCCAGATGAGCGATACAGGCCCTGTTGGCCTCTTGTATGTTTATTCCACTCCTATTCTGTCTGACTTTTACGTCCATTCCCCTTCCGATTTGCGTGAATTAACGTCACGCAGATTGAGAATGGAATGGACGTACAAGTCACACAGATAGAGTGGAGTATGTATGTTCAAGTCATACAGATTGGTTACACATATAGCGGGGGGAATTGACGTAAAAGTCACTAAGATAGGGAGGGGACGTACAGATATGGAGGTCAATGGATGTACAGGTCACAGAGATAGCGCTGAGAATAGATATACAAGTCACACAGACAGTTAGTGGAATGGACGTACAAGTCACACAGAGATGGATAGGAATGGACGTATATGCCACACATATTGGGAGGTGATTGGACGTACAAGTCACCCAGATAGAGCGGAGAAAGGACGTACAAGCTACACAGATAGAGAGGATGGACGTACAAGCTACAAAGATAGAGAGGAGAATGGACGTACAAGCTACACAGATAGAGAGGGGAATGGACGCACAAGCTACACAGATAGAGAGGAGAATGGACGTACAAGCTACAAAGATAGAGAGGAGAATGGACGTACAAGCTCCACAGACAGAGCGGAGAAGGGACGTACAAGCTACAAAGATAGAGAGGAGAATAGACGTACAAGCTACACAGATAGAGCGGAGAATGGACGCACAAGCTACACAGATAGAGAGGGGAAAGGACGTACATGCCAAACAGATAGGGAGGAGAATGGACGTACAACCTACACAGATAGAGATGAGAATGGACGTACAAGCTACAAAGATAGAGAGAAGAATGGACGTACCAGCTACACAGATAGAGCGGAGAATTTGACGTTCAAGCTACAAAAATAGAGAGGAGAATGGACGTACAAGCTACACAGATAGGGAGGAGAATGGACGTACAAGCTACACAGATAGGGAGGAGAATGGACGTACAAGCTACACAGATAGAGAGGGGAATAGACGTACAAGCTACACAGATAGAGCGGGGAAGGGACGTACAAGCTACACAGATAGGGAGGAGAATGGACGTACAGGCTACACAGACAGAGAGGAGAATAGACGTACAAGCTACACAGATAGAGAGGAGAATGGACGTACAAGCTACACAGATAGAGAGGGGAATGGACGCACAAGCTACACAGATAGAGAGGAGAATGGACGTACAAGCTACAAAGATAAGGAGGAGAAGGGACGTACAAGCTACACAGATAGGGAGGAGAATGGACGTACAAACTACACAGATAGGGAGGAGAATGGACGAACAAGCTACACAGATAGGGAGGAGAATGGACGTACAAGCTACACAGACAGAGAGGAGAATGGACGTACAAGCTACACAGATAGAGAGGAGAATGGACGTACAAGCTACACAGATAGAGAGGGGAATGGACGTACAAGCTACACAAATAGAGCGGAGAAAGGACGTACAAGCTACACAGATAGAGAAGAGAATGGACGTACAAGCTACACAGATAGAGCGGAGAAGGGACGTACAAGCTACACATATAGAGAGGAGAATGGAAGTACAAGCTACACAGATAGAGAGTAGAATGGACGTACAAGCTACACAGATAGAGAGGAGAATGGACGTACAAGCTACTCAGATAGAGCGGAGAAGGGACGTACAAGCTACACAGATAGAGCGGAGAAGGGACGTACAAGCTACACAGATTGAAAGGGGAATGGACGTACAAGCTACACAGATAGAGAGGAGAATGGACGTACAAGCTACACAGATAGAGAGGGGAATGGACGTACAAGCTACACAGATAGAGCGGAGAAAGGACGTACAAGCTACACAGATAGAGAGGGGAATGGACGTACAAGCTACACAGATAGGGAGGAGAATGGACGTACAAGCTACACATATAGGGAGGAGAATGGACGTACAAGCTACACAGATAGGGAGGAGAATGGACGTACAGGCTACACAGACAGAGAGGAGAATCGACCTACAAGCTACACAGATAGAGAGAAGAATGAACGTACAAGCTACACAGATAGGGAGGAGAATGGACGTACAAGCTACACAGATAGAGAGGAGAATGGACGTACAAGCAACACAGATAGAGCGGAGAATGGAGGTACAAGCAACACAGATAGAGCGGAGAAGGGACGTACAAGCTACACAGATAGAGAGGGGAATGGACGTACAAGCTACACAGATAGAGCGGGGAAGGGACGTACAAGCTACACAGATAGTGGGGAGGATGGACGAAGAAGCTACACAGATAGAGAAGAGAATGGACGTACAAGCTACACAGATAGAGCGGAGAAGGGACGTACAAGCTACACAGATAGAGAGGAGAATGGACGTACAAGCTACACAGATAGAGAGGAGAATGGACGTACAAGCTACACAGATAGAGAGGGGAATAGACGCACAAGCTACACATATAGAGTGGAGAAGGGACGTACAAGCTACACAGATAGGGAGGAGAATGGACGTACAAGCTACACAGATAGGGAGGAGAATGGACGTACAAGCTACACAGACAGAGAGGAGAATGGACGTACAAGCTACACAGATAGAGAGGAGATTGGACGTACAAGCTACACAGATAGAGAGGGGAATGGACACACAAGCTACACAGATAAAGAGGAGAATGGACGTACAAGCTACAAAGATAAGGAGGAGAATGGACGTACAAGCTACACAGATAGAGTGGAGAATGGACGTACAAGCTACACAGATAGGGATGAGAATGGACGGACAAGCTACACAGATAGGGAGGAGAATGGACGTACAAGCTACACAGATAGGGAGGAGAATGGACGTACAAGCTACACAGATAGAGCGGCGAAAGGACGTACAAGCTACACAGATAGAGAGTAGAATGGACGTACAAGCTACACAGATAGAGCGGAGAAGGGACGTACAAGCTACACAAATAGAGAGGAGAATGGAAGTACAAGCTACACAGATAGAGAGGGGAATGGACGTACAAGCTACACAAATAGAGAGGAGAATGGAAGTACAAGCTACACAGATAGAGAGGGGAATGGACGTACAGGCTACACAGATAGGGAGGAGAATGGACGTACAATCTACGCAGATAGAGCGGAGAAGGGACGTACAAGCTACACAGATAGAGCGGAGAAGGGACGTACAAGCTACACAGATTGAAAGGGGAATGGACGTACAAGCTACACAGATAGGGAGGAGAATGGACGTACAAGCTACACAGATAGGGAGGAGAAGGGACGTACAAGCTACACAGATAGGGAGGAGGATGGACGTACAGGCTACACAGACAGAGAGGAGAATGGACGTACAAGCTACACAGATAGAGAGGAGAATCGACCTACAAGCTACACAGATAGAGCGGGGAATGAACGTACAGGCTACACAGATAGAGAGTAGAATGGACGTGCATGCTACACAGATAGAGAGGAGAATGGACGTACAAGCTACACAGATAGGGAGGAGAATGGACGTACAAGCTACACAGATAGAGAGGAGAATTGGCGTACAAGCTACTCAGATAGAGCGGAGAATGGACGTACAAGCTACACAGATAGAGCGGAGAAGGGACGTACAAGCTACACAGATTGAAAGGGGAATGGACGTACAAGCTACAAAGATAGAGAGGAGAAGGGACGTACAAGCTACACAGATAGAGAGGGGAATGGACGTACAAGCTACACAGATAGAGTGGAGAAAGGACGTACAAGCTACACAGATAGAGAGGGGAATGGACGTAAAAGCTACACAGATAGGGAGGAGAATGGACGTACAAGCTACACAGATAGGGAGGAGAATGGACGTACAAGCTCCACAAATAGGGAGCAGAATGGACGTACAGGCTACACACAGAGAGAGGAGAATGGACGTACAAGCTACACAAATAGAGAGGAGAATCGACCTACAAGCTACACAGATAGAGCGGGGAATGAACGTACAGGCTACACAGATAGAGAGTAGAATGGACGTGCATGCTACACAGATAGAGAGGAGAATGGACGTACAAGCTACACAGATAGGGAGGAGAATGGACGTACAAGCTACACAGATAGAGCGGAGAAAGGACGTACAAGCTACACAGATAGAGAGGAGAATGGACGTACAAGCTACACAGATAGGGAGGAGGATGGACGTACAAGCTACACAGAAAGAGCGGAGAAGGGACGTACAAGCTACACAGATAGAGAAGAGAATGGACGTACAAGCTACACAGAAAGAGCGGAGAATGGACGTACAAGCTACACAGATAGAGAGGAGAATGGACGTACAAGCAACACAGATAGAGAGGAGAATGGACGTACAAGCTACTCAGATGGAGCGGAGAAGGGACGTACAAGCTACTCAGATAGAGCGGAGAATGGACGTACAAACTACACAGATAGAGCGGGGAATGAACGTACAGGCTACACAGATAGAGAGTAGAATGGACGTGCATGCTACACAGATAGAGAGGAGAATGGACGTACAAGCTACACAGATAGGGAGGAGAATGGACGTACAAGCTACACAGATAGAGAGGAGAATTGGCGTACAAGCTACTCAGATAGAGCGGAGAATGGACGTACAAGCTACACAGATAGAGCGGAGAAGGGACGTACAAGCTACACAGATTGAAAGGGGAATGGACGTACAAGCTACAAAGATAGAGAGGAGAAGGGACGTACAAGCTACACAGATAGAGAGGGGAATGGACGTACAAGCTACACAGATAGAGTGGAGAAAGGACGTACAAGCTACACAGATAGAGAGGGGAATGGACGTAAAAGCTACACAGATAGGGAGGAGAATGGACGTACAAGCTACACAGATAGGGAGGAGAATGGACGTACAAGCTCCACAAATAGGGAGGAGAATGGACGTACAGGCTACACAGAGAGAGAGGAGAATGGACGTACAAGCTACACAAATAGAGAGGAGAATCGACCTACAAGCTACACAGATAGAGCGGGGAATGAACGTACAGGCTACACAGATAGAGAGTAGAATGGACGTGCATGCTACACAGATAGAGAGGAGAATGGACGTACAAGCTACACAGATAGGGGGGAGAATGGACGTACAAGCTACACAGATAGAGCGGAGAAAGGACGTACAAGCTACACAGATAGAGAGGAGAATGGACGTACAAGCTACACAGATAGGGAGGAGGATGGACGTACAAGCTACACAGAAAGAGCGGAGAAGGGACGTACAAGCTACACAGATAGAGAAGAGAATGGACGTACAAGCTACACAGAAAGAGCGGAGAATGGACGTACAAGCTACACAGATAGAGAGGAGAATGGACGTACAAGCAACACAGATAGAGAGGAGAATGGACGTACAAGCTACTCAGATGGAGCGGAGAAGGGACGTACAAGCTACTCAGATAGAGCGGAGAATGGACGTACAAACTACACAGATAGAGAGGGGAATGGACGTACAAGCTACACAGATAGGGAGGAGGATGGACGTACAAGCTACACAGATAGGGAGGAGAATGGACGAACAAGCTACAAAGATAGAGAGGGGAATGGACGTACAAGGTACACAGATAGAGCGGGGAAGGGACGTACAAGCTACACAGATAGGGGGGAGGATGGACGTACAAGCAACACAGATAGGGAGGAGAATGGACGTACAAGCAACACAGATAGAGCGGAGAAGGGACGTACAAGCTACTCAGATAGAGAAGAGAATGGACGTACAAGCTACACAGATAGAGAGGAGAAGGGACGTACAAGCTACACAGATAGAGAGGAGAATGGACGTACAAGCTACACAGATAGAGAGGAGAATGGACGTACAAGCTACACAGATAGAGCGGAGAAGGGACGTACAAGCTACACAGATAGAGCGGAGAAGGGACGTACAAGCTACGCAGATAGAGAGGAGAATGGAAGTA